CCGTCTCTCACTTGATGAACACTTTTGTAGAATAAATTAGAGCGTTTTATTCCTTATGTATGTACCACTTTGTATTTGAAAAGCAGAGAAAAGGATATTGTTGGGTTGGCAAAGCAACTCAGGATGATGGTCATGGAGGAAGTAGAAACTACCAACTTCTCTTGTTGAGCAGAATTTCCTTCTTCTGCCCTTCCAGAGACAATAATTCTACTCCTGCAATATTTCAGAGCAGCTGGGTGACGAGCATCCAAAAGGGCACGTGTATTCTCCATTTAAGAATAGCTGCTAACAAAAAGTTTGCAGCGATGGCTCTGGCTATAGCAGCAATAGCACAACGGCCAGAGCAGAAAGCCAAAAGCTGGGGCTTGTTTACAGTGGGCTAGTACCTCTGTGCTGAAAAATGCAGGATACTAAAGGGTTCTTTGATCTAAGGGAGAAAGACACAGCAAGGAACCAGTTATCTGGAGGGAGCTGACTCCAAGAGTCACAAAGAGGAGCTGACTAAAGAAATGCTTTCATCAAATACAAATCTTATTTTAATCAAACAGAAAGAAAGGTGACAGCAGTATTTAATGGTCTATATACATGAGGTCTCCCGGTCTAATAGTCTAATAGTGTGTACTGCCCTTAAACTCTGTGACTCTGTAAAGCATATTAAAAGCATAAATGATAAAAGTGTTGATTACTGGGCAGAGACTAGAGGAGGGGACTCAGAACAATCTGTTTGGAGCTTGTACCTTGTAGCACCTAACTTTTAGGCATTGCCAAGGGAAATGCCCATTCCTGAAATAAGTGTCTACACTTTTTATGACCATGGAAAGTTTGGTGCCAAAGTATCAGCACTGCAAAAGAAGCTGAGACCTCTCTTCCGTACCTTCCTGCCTGTGCTGTTCATACCTCCAGCCTTTTCCCAGGATTAGGTGTTTCAGTTCTTTCATTCTAAACTATAGAGAAGCAATCCTCTTACACTGCTCTGTAGTTAATAATCACATTTTACCTAATCAACAAAACAAAACCTCTTAGTGAGTCCTGCAAGCCAGAGTCATGCTCCTGCCGTTTCTGGGCCAATGAATTCTGTGCAAAGTTTCATCATCATCGCAGGAAACCTGGTAGTCACCCCAGAGTGATGGCAGCTATCTGGGAGCTGTGGTTCAATCCTCCTCAAAAAGGGCAGAAGTGGAGCAATCAGCTTCTAAGCCTTTAAGGGCAAAGGCACAACATGGACTCCAGGCTCCTCAGGGTTGGCTTAACTGAGCTATTTCTGAGCATGGGCAGTAAGTGACTATCACACACCTACCAATGAATCAGTAATGGGAAAAGCTTCACCTTCAGGCAGCCAGGCTGAAGCAGCAGCTGAATTGAGGGTTAAGAAATCACAGATTTGGCATAGGCCATCTAAAATGGCAGTTAAAGCTCTAAATCCATCATGTCCCGTTACAGTCCTAGGCTCTGGCCTCTGTTAGCCTCATCCAGCTCAGATGGCATCTAGTCACTTGTTTTTCAAAATCTCTCTTTACAGTGTGTCAGAAGTCTTGTCCCTCTGCCCATTAAAGTAGCAGTGTTTGAGCATCTTCCGTGTTAATTTGATTGACAATGGCAAAGTCACTAGGGAACCACAGGGATCTTCTGACTGGCTTATTTTCCTGTTATGAATTGTGGTTTGTTGTTCTATTAGAAAAAACTACTGTAACACTTCCTATAAGTAATAGGTGAAGTTACTCTGTCTAATAACTCTGAGATCTATATGCAAATTCTCCATAAATTATAGCATTGCTCCTTTAAAATTTCTCCAATCCATCAGGAACAGCAAGGCATTTTTTTTTTTTTTAACGAGAATTTTTGGTTTTCAATGGAATTCACTCCAGAGAGCAGAACATTTTTTCATTTTAAGGAAGATTTATAAAGGGGCAGAATTGTGGTTATTGTTAGAGTCTGTCCTAAAGAAAACCATCAAATCCTTTACAGTACTGGGCAGATCTGGGCTAGAAAGCGTAACAGGGTGGCATATAGCAGCTCAGGCAGAAACAGAGGAAATGGAGCAGGAAGAAATAAAAAAATGGAAGCCCCAAAAGAAGTGCGGGTGCCAATTAGAATTCTTGTGGGCTGCAGCAAGAGATGAATATAAGAAGCTGCAGGAATGGATTAGTGTTAATCACAAACACAGGAAAGTAGGAAAGGTTTTAAAAAAGCTTTAAAAAGCAAAAAATGAGTTAGCAGCTCAGAAGAGAATTCTAGATCCATAAAGTGTAGGAGCAAAAATGAAATGCAGAATATCAGGAGATGCATCTGGGACCTAAGCAATTACCTTCTTAAGGTAATAAGACATTTTTAGGGAAGTAGAAGCTTCTCTCTCTCACCCTCTCTCTAAGGGCAACCCACTTTCCTTATCCTAGTGAAAGGATGCATTTAGAATTAGAAAGAAAGTGACTCCTCTTTTTCACTGTCATGATGATATAAACATATAGCACCGTGCTATAGTAAAAACAGAGCATTAAGGAACTAGAGCATGCCCAGTCATTGGTAATAAATTTGCCTGGCCACCCAATCCAAATGAATCACCTCTGGATTTGGTAAGAATTTGGCATAGTATTGCGTGGTATTTGTAGAACAGCCTTGAGTTGTATTAAGACCTTGAGGTTGGAGATTAGTTCCAAAATCCACTAAAGCCATTGTTGACTGCAATACACTTTAGAGCAGGATGACTGGATTGTGAGGGTAGGGGTTCTCTTTGCAGCTGTGAGATATGAAACATCACTTAATATTTCTGTGCTTAGTCACTTATAATAATGAAAGACAAAAATGCCAGTTATCTGTTCTTACAAGCTGCATGATACTATCATTAAGAAATCCTATTCTGTCTTTGGATTTATTTGCAACGTAAGGAAGAATATCATGGTTGTTTGACTTAGGATTCTTTTACGTATGAATCATCATTTAAAGGTTAGCAAGGAAACTAACACTGTATGAAAAGTTTGTTTTCTCTTCAATCAAACACTTTGTTTTTAAAAGCACTATATCTTCCTAGAATATTACGAATTTGTCATTTGCCAAACAAAATCTTAAACAGCCCCTTTTTATTTGCTTACATGGCATCATTTCAAACAAATCAACCAAGGCCATAGTTCCAGTCATCGGTCTTCGCTCTGTGCTACCAGATCTCCAGCAGAACGAATGTGATCCAGACAAAGCACAGACATGTACAAGAGATCAGCCAGAGCACCGGACCCAGAATATATGCCAGCTTTATGCTTTAAAATTGGCTTTGCACTGGCTATTGAAGGACAGACAATGCCTGATCCAGTATAATGTTGAAGTAGCACAGAGAGTCAATGCATACCATAAAGCCTGCCAGCACCATGCCATACCCTCAACATTTTTTGAACAAATGTCAATTAACAGATTGAGTTTATATGAGATCAATGTTTTCCAACAGATTGCCGCAGTGGTTTGGATCCAAAGAAAGAGTCTTGAAGTCAAAGATGCTATCTGGTCACAGCCAAGCCTTAAGTCAAATTTTGCTCTCAAGTTACAACCAGTTCCACCAGCTTTTTACTAGCATCATTGAATTCAAGCAAGTGCTGAGGGCAGATCCTTTTCTATGCACTGGGATATATTTTGAAAGCAACCCTTCTCCTGATATGGTAGAAGATGAAGCCTACATTACAGCCCCAAGCCAAGCCATGATACATTTGGCTGCACAGGGAAAAGGTATGTTCTCAGGGAATAGAAGACCGAAAGTTTGCTCAAGCTTCTTGCTCAATGCCAGGGATGCGTATGTCAGTTTTTCCAGCCTGACATGACACTCTTTTTAAGGATCAAAGTTACAGGAAAAAAACCCTCTGAAAATGGGGCTTCATGATGGAAACGCCTACACAGCTGTAATAGATGCTTCTCAAATGTGCTGCTTATGAACCACAAGAATAATATGGCTAAATGTGCCGACTTTTGCAGTTTTCACCTCTTTTGTTGAAACTAATGAGTCACGATTAGAGTAATGCTTTTCTGTGACTCGGAAACCATTTTGCTTAATGAGGTACTAAGTCTTTATAATTAGGCCCAGAAGGGAACTGGGACGTGGCCCCTTAAGAGCAATAATTATTTAGGTTATTTATGATAATAAAAAATTGAAAATAGGAATTCTTCCTTAGAATATGACTATTTATTCTTTTTACATATTGCCTAACAGGCAATTACCCTATTAAGGCAACGTTTTGTTGCTAAAGACATTAATTGAAATGTAAATTAAATGTAAATCAGCTAATTAAATTGATATGTAATGAACTTGTCATGCAGGCCTTTGAGATCAGATGCATTTTGCTAATAAACAACTGTTATAGTGGTGCCATTGCTCACTAGAGTTAAGGTTGTTTAACATGTTGCTTCTATAACATTCTCCCTCCCCAAATTCAAAGGTTTGGATGGTGTCATTAGAGTCCAGAATGAAACCGGCACTGGGAGTTTCCAGATTTATTCCCTCCAGTTATTTCCAGATCAACTTCAGTGCATGGTTCTCCTAATGGTTAGCGCTGCAAATCCCGTCTGGGTGCAGCCCAAAATCTGACTATTCCTGCTATTCTGTCCCCAGAAGTGATAAAGCACTGCATAAAAATGCTCACTGAGACTGACCTGCCATTGTTCATCTCTCACTTACCACCTCAGCTCTGCTCTGGGGGCTCCAGCAGATGACTTCTAGAAGGGTTAGCATCAGTTGGTGGTGGTGCCCCTGCTGTGTGCCTGCCCCATCTCTGCCCCGGAGGTTGCCACCTTCCGGGCAGGTTAGCAGAACTGGATGTGTGCCTGTGTCTCAATCAGGTGTCTTTCATTAGCAGTTTAAGCAAATATCTTTGATAAACTGGGTTGCTAGGAGCATATCCTCTTTTGCTGCCTCTGCAGAGAACTGCTATTAAGCAGTAACCTCTTCATCATAGCTCTTTAAAAAAACTCTTGAAATGTATGCTGTAGCCACTGTTTTTTGATACTCAGCATCATGTCCCAGTTACCTTTTCTCTTCTGGTTGTTGTATCACTGTGCGCTCTCTCTCTCTCCTCAGATTTTGACTGCAAGCTCTTGGGACAGCAACATTATTTTTGTCTCTGCACACAGTGGCCAGTAATGAACTGTCATGGTAGGGGGACTCTAGACATTCCTGAAATACAAAGAAATAAAATGATAGATGAAAAAATCAAAATTTCCTTGGAGATTATGTTGTTGGCAATGTGTATGGCAAACATCAAAGCTGACATCACCAAGTCAACTCAGCAATAGGAGAATGAGTTAGAATAACCTTCTGCATTGTCTGTAAGACACAAGTAATCTTAATCATCAGAGTGCGAGCATGTGTCAAACTGTAAATTAAGGGGAAGGGATATGAAACTATCAGTTCTCCTGCAGCTACGTTTTGAACCTGACCTACTAAAATTTCTAGCATAAATTCAGGCCCTATATTAAAGATATCTGGGAGGACAGAAGTCCCTCCCTTAACAGATATGTGGACAAAACTCGCTGCCTATAGTTAATGCAACAGCAAAGCAAATGCCACAGATTTTGCTTCTGAAAAAGCTCAGGCAGGCACCTTATAAAATCCACTGCCCTCTTCCACTGGAATCATGTAGACATTTTGTATCCTTGGTCATGAAACTAAAGCAAATGTAGCAAAAAGGGCTACAGAGGTGAGAGAATAGAAGCCTGTGTCAGAATTGCAGAAATGCTTTTGCAGAATGTTTTCATAGATTCATCACGCCTTAGTTGCACCTGAGCATCCACACATAATTACTCTGTCTTGAATAAATCTGATGCTGCATTTATAACTTCAACACAAAGAACCTTCTACCCTGCAGTCCTTTGGGGGCTAGGGGTATTTAATAAACATGTCAACTATCACTCTTTTTTAGCTTGAATACAGTATGTTGTTTTTTCCTAGTGAGGAACACTCCAGTTTGAAGTTTACAGAGCAATTAAAGACCCTCACGGGGCCCCTGATATGTAGAGATTGTCAGCATATGTAGATTAGTAATTGTCAAGTTTCTCCCTGAGGCCAAAGAGCTCTTAGTCAAATTCCAGAGATCATCAAGTATTCAGATTTCAGTGGGCTTTGTGTCTTACACAACATAGTGGCATAATTAAACTACAATGCTTCTTTTCTAATAAACTTTTGGATCTGGCTATGTTTCTATTAATTTCTTTTAATTAGCTATGATCAAAAAATAAAAATGAACATCAATCTAAAGCTGCAACTTTGCTGCTTCCAAAAAGATGCTCTGGGAACAGCTTTCTCTTCTAACTTTTGGGGCTTGGGGACCCCACTTATAGAGGTGACTTGCAAAGGCCTTATGTAGAACAAAAAAACAATGGACTAACAAGAGAATCCTTTCTCATTTCTTTTCAACTGACATTTGGACGTAGATGATTGAATGATAATGCCATCTTGTTTTCTCTTACGGAAAATGCTCACCAAAGATGAGATCTATGTCTTCACTGACTTGCTGATTTGGGCTATAGCCCAAATTTTAGTTCACTCTCCACTGGTTTCCATGTCTGTGGAAGTGTTAAACCTGGCATTGTTGGTTCAGATGAGAAATTGAAGTAAAATTTGGGTTAGAAGTCAAAAAGAAGGCAATTTAAATCAGTATCCTCAAGACCCAGCCTAATACTTTAATGGCTGGCTCCACCATCCTTGTTGAACCATCTGTCCCCAGGCCAAGCATACAAATATGCACCTAAATTCATTATTCATTTGCTTAAGTGTTGAAGAATTGCGTCAGCTTGCTTAGTTAGCATCTTGCATGGCCAAGCCCTTGAAGATCAAATGTTTAGTCTACTACAGTACTCCCTGGAAGCCACATGGTAACAAGAGCAACTGGATGATGCTTTCATATAACGAGACTGGCCTAGCAGCTGGATCATCTGCTGTGGTTCCTAGATATGTTATATTGTGGTCACTGAGCTTGGAAGATACAAAGTGTTATCACTGGTCTGCACCCATCATTTGAGTCCCACTCCCTCAGCCTGTCCAGCTGTAGACAAGGCCTGTGGTAAGGAGCAAGTTGCTACAAATCTGCATGGTGCTTCCAACAGACAACTGAGATTTCCAAAGCTACGTGTGGGATCTGAAGGTCCAGCTCCTAATAAAATAAGTAAGAATCGGAGATCCAAAATCTGAAGGCAGCTTTAATAAACTTAGCTACAACATGCTACATAAAAGCTAAGTAATTACTCAGATGAGTAGATCTCCATCTCCATGCTGTTCACACTGTCTGGGTGTAGCAAAGAACAGACTTTGTTTGCGATCATGCTCGGTAATCAACAAAAAAAACTTTTAGTAAATAAGACTGCCCATGCACACACATGTGCGCTCCTGTATGAACACCCAGACATATGCACCCAAAACAAGCATTCTTCTCTTCTCAAATGGGGTCATGGAGTAACACCCTGAGGAACGCCCAAAGAGTTTGTGTGTCTAGGAGGAAAAACATTTAGTATCTTCCACTCTGTCCTTACACAGAGGTCTTTACTGCGTAAACCCCGTTTTATTTGTCACAGTCCTCCAGTGCTGGAATACTGGTAGCTCTAAAGACTGAGATCTTCTATTAACCCCCCATAAAGGCCTCCCCATTCCAACACAAAGGATAATCTGAAGCCAGCGGGTAATTCCAGAATGGGTTTCTGCAGTTTCCGGCTGACTTGGAAGTAAGGATCTATCATTTTATCTCCAAATCTCTAAGGTCATCATGCCCACCAAAACCCTTTATGGGCTAAATCCTCGTTTTAGAAAAATCACTTACATGCTTGGCATTGGTGATAACAGCCCTGGAACTGAACCGGCTTGTCTCTGCTTGGCCCGCTGGATGTGGAAGAGCATGCTGCTTCTTTCTTTTCCAAGGCCTATCATTATGCTAGAGCATGAAAACTGGATCCAAGCAGCAAAAAGTTTGGCTTTAAATAGTAGTCTAGGAGGAGAATCTCAAGGTAAAAGAGTCTTGATA